CCCCAAAACCCCAAAACCCCAAAACCCCATTACTTCATATTTCACAAAAGAATGAATATTGAAAGTGAATTTCTTAATTTTAGAGTTTATTAAAGGAAAATGATATTATTTCTGATAAAAATTATTAGATATCCCTGGTAAATGGAGAATATTGAAAGTGAACTATTTAAAAAAATTAATAGAAGATTAATATATAAGGATAATACTGAAAGCGAGGAAACTAATAATGAAACATGGAGATAAGATCTAAAAGTAGATGATTTTAGATGTTTGCCTAGAATTGCCAGGATTTGAAGATTAAAGTGTATGGGTCTAAGCATTAATTCTTTCAGTTACTGATTCCATTTATCTTGAACTATACATTATTTACGATACCTGGCAGGAAAACAATTATATCAATAAATGGTCTAAAAAGATTGCTTAATTCGAAAGCTAAACCAAAGAATCCTACGAATTATAAAATTAAATCCAACCATAGATGTAAGTTGATTCATATGACAAAGCTTTTTGGAAAAGATCTACAATTTTAAAAATAGATGAAGTATTTTTACCTAAAATTGATAAATTTGTCAAAAGAGCCAGAATAGGGTTTAGAGTATGATGTGATTGCGGAGATAAGGCTGATATCTTATTTGGATAATACAAAGGATGGTCTTATACATTTGATGAATGGATACTATTGAATTCTCAAAGAATATAGCCTTTTCTTTCATAAACTGTGAAAGGCACAAATGTAAGGAATAAAGAAAAATTACCAGCACTGCCTTGTTCAGCTTTTGGAACTATCGAAGAGCTAAATTCTTTAACCGAAAATGGTGCATATGTAGATTAAGCAACTGAATTCGACGAGTCTCTACTATATATTGCATGCTAATTTGGTAGATACGAAATTGCTGAATATTTGATATCTAAAGGAGCTAATCTAAACAAAAGGACTGATTATGATCATTCACCAGTAATGGCAGCTATTTAAGAGGGACATACAGACATAGTCAGACTATTAGTTAGAAATGGTGCTGATATAAATATGAATATCAAGAACATCTATTTCAAAGAGCAAATTTTATCTAAAGATGAAACTTTCCGTATGATTTACGAATTAGAGAGATCCAGGTATTTATTGATATATAATTCGATAATTCTACCTGATAAGTAAGAGAAAACAAATTCTAAAAGGATAAATAAAAATATATTGAAAAAAGCTATTTTTGAATATAATATTTGACATTAAATATTTTAAATTTTCTTGATTCACGGGGTTTTGGGGTTTTGGGGTTTTGGGG